TGTACCTGAGATAAAGACATTATATATATGGAAATGTATAAATGTATAGGTTTACCTGAGATAAGGGTGTAATGCTGCTGCTGCAGAGCTCCTGTGTGCATTAATGATCCCGGGCTGTGAATGTTTGTGGGAAACAGACAAACAGAAACTGTTGGAGCAGAACCGACGGTCTCCAGAGGAGACCAGCTGCTCTGGGATCAGATCGACCGTTGCTGCAGTCGGTTGGTGAGATACAGAAAAACAGGAAATTTTCGGCGTTTCAGATAGGATCCATTAACTGTCACAAACTGTCTCTGTGCTGTTTACAGAGGATCTGTGATGTTCACATATTACACTGAACAAAATTCACTCAAAAATATTGAAATGAAAATGAACTTTATTGATCGGAGGAAGAACAGCAGTAACATTTAACATTAAACACATTACAGCACGAATCTGAGCAAATATAAATATATATAAATACATATATAATTACAGTAACAGCTAACAGTTTAGCTGACTATAAGACTGTAGTGTTAAGAGCCCTGCTAATGTAAATGCATATAATAATAATAATAATAAATTGGTGTTGTTTTATCATTTTCTGTATCAATGCAGTAAAAAAAGAGTCTGTCTGTCTGTCTGCCTGACTGTCTGCCTGTGATCAATAGCAGCTGATATTTAATGTGCAATAACACAGCAGGTTAATAATAATACATTTAATTTAATAAAGGTTAATGGTTTTAATTTATATATATATATATATATATATATATATAATAATATCCGTATGAACACAGAGTTCATTAATGTTCTTTAAAGCATTTATTGTTTTTTAAAATCACATTTGTACATTTAAATGTTATTTCTTAATTTAATATTAATAATCCTGTTTTTATTTGTTTATTCCAACCAAGAACAGATAATATCAAGAGGCCTGTAGGGGGCGGCAGACACCCTCACTGTTACTGTAGCTACTGCATGTGTTAAATATAAGTCCTATATAATATCCTTATATAATATAAGTATAATATAATATAATATAATATATAAGTTAAATATGACACAAAACAATAAACACAAGTCATCACTTAAAAAGAATTATATATCAGACTCCACACTTTAAATATGTATGATTATTATTTAAATATTCAGTAAAATCAGCATTAAAATATACTATTATTATTATTGAAGTAATATGCAAACATACATGGATGTAAAAAATATCAATATACAGCGGGTAAAATAAGTATTGAACACATCACCATTATTCTCAGTAAATATATTTCTAAAGGTGCTATTGTCATGAAATTTTCACCAGATGTCGGTAACAACCCATGCAATCCACACATGCAAAGAAACCAAAATAAATAATTTCAGAAATTAAAGTTATGTGTAATAAAATGGAATGACACAAAAGTATTGAACACGCTTACTGAAATTTATTTAATACTTCGTACAAAAGCCTTTGTTGGTAATGACAGCTTCAAGACGCCTCCTGTTTGGAGGAACTGGTCACATGCATCGCCCAGGTGTGATTTTGGCCCAGTCTTCAAATCTTGAAGTTTCCGTGGGCCTCTTCTATGAACTCTGATCTTTAGTTCTTTCCATAGATTTTCTATTGGATTCAAGTCAGGTGATTGGCAGGGCCATTCTACGCAGCTTTATTTTCTTTCTCTGAAGACAATGTGGGAAGATTTCTTGGCTGTGTGTTTGGGATCATTGTCTTGCTGAAATGTCCACCCTCGTTTCATCTTCATCATCCTGGTAGATGGCAGCAGATTTTTATCAAGAATGTCTCGGTACATTTCATTCAGCCTTCCTTCCTTCCTTCAATTATATGAAGTTTGCCAGTGCCGTATGCTGAAAAACAGCCCCACACCATGATGTTCCCACCTCCAAACTTCACTGTTGGTATGGTG